AATCCATTAATTGACTGACCGGGTATGATATATGTCAACTTATAATCTGAATTTTTGTAATGATTTAAAATTCACAGCACTTATTCATAGTATCCGTTATTATTGTTAAACAAATTTCCTCTTTTTCCTAAAAATCAAAACGGTATCCAAACGGTTAACGAATTCAGTTCGGGTTAGTCTGCCGGTATTGTTTTCCTTGCTAATTCTCAAGCCAATGACGTTAATGCAAACACTACTGAATTTCAAATTATCACCGACACGAAAAATAAATGTTCATTCATCTTTAAGCAAATTTCGACAAATAATATGTACACTCAAATATTCAGTCTTCTAGGAAAAAAATCTCTGAATATGTGTTAAAAAATTTCGTACGTATGATAAATTGTACTATAAAACTATAAGGTCAAAATTGAATAGTGCAAATGATAATTATTTAACAAAGTATTTAACACATTAGTGAATTCGACGTGATATTAAATATATGAGGCATACAAATTTCTATCTGGGCAAGCTAGTCAAATGAAATTGAAATGTATGGTAAATGTGCATAATACACATAATTTGGCATAGTAAAATATTATTAATTTAGTCTGTAATTTGTCTTAATTTATTGACTAAAATCATTAATTACAATTGCAAAATCATTAATTGGGAATATTCTTTACTCACCCTGAGACAATAAAACAATCACTGTAATTCATCTAATTTTAAGAAGAAAAATCAGACTTACAAAAAAATATGTGACGGGAATAGCTCAGTCAGTATCATACCCGACTCACACGCCAGGAATACTCGGTTCGTGTCTTGGCACTGACAAATAATTGTCATTTGATTTGTTGGATTGAAATTAAGTAGATTTCAAAATGTTGGTTTGAGGTAGAATATAATAGGAAGTTAGAAGAAGAAGCAAGGTTAGAAGAGAAAGAAGAATAAAGAATCAGTTTTAAAGAGGAATGTAAAAGTAGGTTATAAAGAAGAATTGAGAATCGGTTATAAAGAAGAATAAAGAATCAGTTTTAAAGAAGAATAGATAATCAGTTATAAAGAAGAATGCAGAAGTAGGTTATAAAGAAGAATGAAGAAGTCTGTTATAAAGAAAATTGGATAGTGTAGGATATATGAAGATAAAATATGAAATAATAAAAGATAGTATTGGATATAATAAAAGATAGTATAGGATATAATAAAAGATAGTATATGATACAATAAAAATACTATATGATAAAAGATAGTATAAAATATAAAGACACGTTGTAGGTGGCTAAATCCTCTAATTATAAGTAAGCGAGGTCAATAAAAAATAAATTAAATAAAACAAATGGCAAAGATTTCGAATTAGTTCATCAAACGATTTATCAAAAAAAATTTTGAGCTTTTTAATAAGACATTTGAGATACTCGATTTTTTTTGATGTTCTGCTTTTCTATTAGGCTCTATTTTTGATAAATTAATTATCTAATATAATTAAACCTAATTTTATACAATGCTAAAAAATAGTAAAATTTTCTTAAGGGAGCTAAGTGTATAAATATATAGATCTTATGCCCTGCAAATTATATGATTTTTTGATATTGATTTATTTTTATTTTTACTTATTATTTACTTATTATTTTTAATTATTTTTACTTATTTGCACAGGATGTTTTACTTATTGCAAAACATCCTGTGCAAAAAAATATTATGCACAAAAAGTATTATGTAAACTATGAAGTAAATTCAAAATATTTCAAGAAATGATAAAGATAAGGATCTTTGTTCTAAACATATATGAATGAAAAATCATATTTTTGCTAACTTATAAACAAAATGGACAAAAAGCGTTTCCATGCACTTATTGCAAAACATCCTGTGCAAAAAAAATATTATGCACAAAAAATATTGTATAAACTACGAAGTAAATTAAAGAAATGACACAGATAAGGATTGTAGTTCTAAAAATACATGAATGAAAAATCATATTTTTAATAGCTTAATTATAATTTTTGATATACATTTGTAAATTGCACTTGCTTAGAAAATTATATTTTAAAATATTGCAAATATTTTTAATAATTTTTATATTTATACAAAACATACTTTAGAACATCCTGAAGTACTGTATATTTTAAAAAAACATATTTTTTTGATTCCAAAATCAATTTGCTCTGCCAATAATAATGTATCTTTTATACTATCAGTTAGTAATATGAATGGACTCTCCTCAACTATGCATTTTCAATACAAATGATAAAAATCAAAAACTTGCTTCCTCTAAAACCGCAAAAAATTTCGAATCATAAATTATCACACTCAAAATCGTATGAACAGGTAGTCGAAAATCCAAATTACAATAGTCGTGATGGATTTCATATACCTTAGCTACTTTGTCAGTTAATCCTTTGGGGATTAACAAGTTTTTTCTCCTCAAAGAATAACTAGGAAGGTGCATGCGATCGTATTCGGGTTAATAATCTCTAGGAATTTGTAATACCTGTGTCAGCTGTAATTTCAGTCTGTACTTGTGATCTTAAAGAATTATTATTCAAGGTAAAGAAAGGACCAAACTGTTTTAATCTGTAAAAAAATGTTTGGGCGTTGATTTTCTAAATATTTAATTAGTTACCTAAAAATTCTTGAATCCGAGGGTACTCTACTTTCTCAAAAATGATACATTTCTAAGCTTTAGGAATATTAATTTGATGCTAATAGAATAAAATATTTATGATTTTGAACATATAAATTATGTGCTAACAAGGAAAACCTCAGGTTTACTCTTCTGAGATTTTGATGAAACTTTGCAAGGTGGTAGAGTTGATAGTCAAATTGAATGGTTTAAAATATTATTATAAAAAATTATAAAAATGCTTATTCAATTAACATATTTTTTTTTTCAAAATTACTTAATTAAATTTAAATAATTTCATATTTAGTAACTTTATGCAAATAAAATACAACATAATGAATAAAATATAGAACTTGTGATTTTAAATGTATAAATTTTCAATTACTTATTCAACAACATAGACTTTTTTTATAATTGGATAAATAAAGTTCATAATATATTTCTATTGAAATGTGATAATCTGCCTACCTTTATAAACAGTGTTTAATCAAATTTCGGATATCACAACCAATTTAAAAATAAAATGACTCATGTACTTTGCCGAAACTTTTACTGTGTAATAAATATGATCACAACATAATATTTTCAAATTATTTCTTATCCAATATATTATCTACAAGATAATATTTTGAAATTCATAATCAAAATTCTAATCAGTGCATTTTGCTGTATCCGCTGTTTATTTTTATTCGAGCATATAAAATACTTTATCAATTTCTAAACATGTATGAAAGTTCGCTGCTGAATAAATAATTCTTGGAGTGTATTAAAATATATAATTCAACAAATCATACAATAAAATTGATATATTATTAGTATTGTATTTCACTACATCCGTTGATCAAACGATCCATCAAAAATATTTTGATTCGTTATTATAAATGATAAAACACATGAAAAGTTTAATAAACAGCGCATGAATCAGCGTCACTTGTATAAAAGTTGTGAAAATATTGTGAATTTGAATCGGATGTGGTGATCAAATATTGAATTTTATTTATAAAATATCGATTGGTATCAGAAATTATTGTTTTAAGTTGGACAAGTTTATCAGTTTTGTCTTGTGCTATAATAATCGATATTTGAATGTAATGTTTTCATATTGATAAAGAAATAAACGATTAGTCAACTTTCTTCAGATATTTTTGTAAACTGCTATCAAAATGCTATGTAATACCAACCTGCCTTTGCCAAAAACTAATCAGCACATCTCCCTATCAATAGGAATCGAATGTTTTTTGAATCATTTAAATCGGTTGATCCGTGCGCCCGAAAACGTGACTGAAAATTTGTATCCATACATACATACACACACATCCATTTTTTCTGAGGTATGCCAAAATGTTCAGAAACCTTCAAAACGTCGAGAAATGCAAAAAAATTTAATTTCGATTTTTTGGACGATTACAATAACTTACCGTACGAGAAGTTAATAATTGACTTTAAAATTTGAATGCTATAGCATTCACGCCCGCGAACATGTTGAAGATTGTTCTGGAAACCTGAAAAAGTTTTGTTGATATAAGTCATTTTATAATAATTTTATAGATTTTATTAAGCACTGTTTATAAAAGTAGTCATATTATCATATTTCAATAGTAATAGACTTTGAATGTTATAGCATCCACGTCAAGTATTACGCTTCTCTTTTACGCGATGTGCTTGCCCTATCTGATTTCATGACTAAGGTTATATAAAATTCAATTCAAAATAATTGACTTTAAAATTTGAATGCTATAGCATTCATGTAAATCTGCATCACAATGAAAATGAATGCTATAGCATTCACGTTCGCGAACGCATCGAAGATTGTTCTTGAAACCTGAACGAGTTTTGTTGACACAAGTCATTTTACAATAATTTTATAAATTTGATTAAGCGCCGATTATAAAGATAGTCAGATCACATTTCAATTGTAATAGACTGTGAATGCTATAGCATCCACGTCAAGAACTACGCTTCTATTTTACGCAATGTTTTTGCCTTAGCTGAACACGAATATACCTAAAGAATCAGTTAGTCATTCAAGAAAGTTAGAAATTCAAGGTTATATAAAATTGAATTCAAAATAATTGGCTTTAAAATTTGAATGCTATAGCATTCATGCCATTCTACTTCATCATGTTTTTTTTCATTGCAGTATTGTTACAACAGCTAAATAATATAACATCTAGTAACATTAATGAGCAATAATATAAATATAAATAAAATAGAGTACAAAATAAAGGATATTATTAACATTAAAATGATATCCGTATTATGAATGCTATAGCATTCACGCTCCCGAACGTTTTAAAGACTGTTCTGAAAACCAGAATTAATTTAGTTAACACAAACCATTTTATAATATTTTATAAGAAATTTGTAGTTTTCAATATTTCATTTTTTCCCCCCCCAGGAACTGGTCTGCCAGCCCCATCGTCCGCCCAAAATACCAAAAAGAATTCATCTCGTCGCAATGCCTGGGGTAATCTATCTTATGCGGATCTGATCACGCAGGCAATACAATCAGCAGCCGATAGCAGGCTGACATTGTCCCAAATTTACGAATGGATGGTCCAGAACGTACCCTACTTCAAGGATAAGGGGGACAGCAATTCTTCAGCCGGATGGAAGGTTAGTAATAGTAATAACTTTGAAAATTTGTTTTTGGTTTAAATTAAATTTATATGGTTTTGATGACAATAAATATCTAACAAAATATTAAACAATCTATAAGCTGTTAGTTATTAGGTTCAAGTTTCAACTCAAGAGATTTGACTTTGTCCAATATGGCTTGATTAGGCAACTCTCCAACGCAAGTCTTGTTATCCATCTCCAAATCCATGTGTAGCTCGCCTCTCCTCAAATTGATAATGATTGATAAACTTCTTCTGCAAAATGCTAAGGAATTCTCTATTGAAAGCCTTGTTAAAATAAATCCATGTGCAGCTCTCCTCTCCTCAAATTGATAATACGATTGACAAACTCCTTTTACAAAATTTTAAGGCAACTCTTCAATGATAGTCTTGTTATAAAAAATCTTTGTGTAGATCTCTTCTCCTCAAATCTAATCTCCAATATATCTGTTCGGACTTATTTTTGTTTTATTATATTGGCCATGAAGGTGACAACCTTCAGGGCATTAAGCTTTACACGGAATGGTTGCTACCCCTGGTAGAGGGGGTAGCGGAGTATTTTTAATTGAACTAGTTGTTTATTTCTAAAAGTAAAGTCCGCGAAACATGTATAGTAATTAATAAATAAATATATCTTCTTTCATTATAACTTAGTGACAAATTAATGATTGTAATCAAGAACTGCAACAAATACACAATATACAAACAAATCAGTGTTTAATACAGTCCACAGCTACAAGGTTAAATTATAACCCAACAACCTGAGTATCGAAGGAGAGTTTTAATAAATTCTATAAGTACGTAAAATAAAATACAATATCTAAATTGATACTGCTATCCATACTAATTCCAATCTTGTGCATAATTTTTATTAATTACTTCTGCATCGATTCAGATAAAATTTCAAATAATGACGAACAATGTTTATGATTGCAATTTGATGATTTCTTATTCTTCAAACATTAATTCAATTGTACAACAACTTTTACAAATAATAGAGTTGTTGTTGATAAATCAGTTTTAGGTTTTTCATATCCTTTACCAGTGACAAACAAATAATTTAAGAAGTAGATTTTGATAAGAATCCGTTCAAAGCATTTTTTACTGGAGTTTGTAGGAATAAAATTTATTACTGGTTATCAGATTTTGTATAATTACAAATTTAATATTTCACTTATTATTTTTCTTTACTCTTCAAGTGTGTTAATACAGTTAAATTTCGTATTGGATTCTTATTGGAATCTTATTGTTTTCTGTATTCTATAGTATTTTTAAACACGTGATTTATTATCACACGTATGTCTCATAAGTAGTTTTATACTGTCGATTGACATTTAATTCATTGCTTTGATAATAAAATTACATTTTTGGAAATTTTCTGTTTTTGTGTAAAAATTATCATGCCTCTTCGTCCATCTTCAAAAGTTAATACTAATCAAAATGGAACGGATTTTAAGGTACGGACTTTCATAAAAAATAACAGAATTGTTTCATGCATAACCATATAATGGAAATAATTATGTAAGAAAAATAAAAGGAGTAAAATTTCTTTCTATTAGAATTATTGTAATAATGAATATCTTGTAAAAGCATTGATTAGTATACGATATAAAATCATAGTATAGGATATAAAATAAAAATGTTGTAAGTTACTTAATGCACTGAGTAAGCCATGCTGATTAAAATAAGCCTATATAAAAATAAGTCGGGTTTTCCTTCCTGACGATATAACTCCAGAACGCACCAACGGATTTCGACGATTTTGCATTCGTTGGAAAGGTCTCGGACTCCGTGAGGTTTATAGCAAAGAAAATTGAAGAAAGATTTCAACAGAAAAGCGGAAAACACTTTTTCTTTTTTCACACACAGCGTAATCTCTGATACTTAGCATGTACTACAAACTAATAGATACTCATTGTTCTCTGCTTAGTTAATTAAATGTGACAAACCGGCATTGTGTTCACTGTGAAATTGTGCAAGAAAAGTATATATAAGTAAAGTAAAAATATAAGTTATTCGTTTCCTAACATTTCAATTGGAAACTATCAAATCAATCACGTGTATTGTGCAAATTTTTATTCAATTTCAACAGCAGGCAATTTTTTTCTTCATCTTTTAATCAAACGAAATGTTACGTAAAATGAAACTACGAAAACGGAGTTCGCCCGGCTTGCTAGTAAGTCTATATGCTTCTACTAGTAAATTTTATTTTACTGTATGGAAAACAACCGCTTTTCAATAATATTGACTTATCATGTGGACATTTATTTTTAATACTATCGACTTCTACAGTAAGTTTTTCATGCCATTCATATATTTTCCTCTTATTCCGTTACATACGATGGCAAAATATATAGTATGTATTCGTTTTGCTATAAATCTACGGCATGTGACCGAATGGTAAGCAAGTGGCCTTGCAATAGCTCCGTCTCCGTAGTCCGTATACTTGACTTCGAGAAGCAAGTCAGTCTAGTGCTAGTGAGTGAGAGAATCATTTCGAACGCATTCCTGGCAACCTTCAGCATAATAATCCAAAACTCGCGAAGAAGCGTATTCTGTAACCTCCCCCCTCCCTCTCCGCCCCTTCGATCGACTAGAATTGACTTTACGCGCGATATAAGGTTGTAACGTTTTCATATGAATATACACAGTGGCGTAGGAAAACGAATTATTATTGGTCACTTTTTTTTGTGTAACACTATCTGATATTTTTATTAAGACACTTAGTAACTTTATGGTTTTCTTGTTCTATTAGTTTTGGTTATATTTTACACCCTTCTAGTCAGTATTTTTCAATTCTCATTTCTCTTTTTTACGAAGACTTGGTAATTGTTTTGTTAGTTTTTGCAGATTGTTATTAGTAATACTGCAATTGATTAGTTGTTTTTTTAGTTGTGATTATATTTTACACACTTTCAAAATTGGTAGTTTTGGCCATTTATGCAATTTTATTGTATTTGTTTATTTACTTGGAAACACTTAATTTTTTACTTATTCAAAGTGAAAATAGATATCTTTGCTGCTATCCAATTTTATACCGATTTAGCAAAATTTGGAAAATACTCAGGCTGTTGTTGTACCTCTAATGGTAATATTTGAATTAAATCTATTTAAAAATCAAACCAAAGTGTATACAGTAATAGATTTAAATTTTTTGAGACATTTCTTATAGATTTTGAATAAAAATATTGGGAAATTTGGGCAAAATTTTTTCTTTGGTAAATTTCGTATCAGTTAACTTTTTTAATTTCGTAACAGAAACTTTTAAACCACTTCATCTTAGATAAAACCAGTAAAAAATTGCAAATAGTTTTTTGTTCATTTAAAAATATTAATATAATAGATAAAAGTCGTTCAATAATTTTTAATTGTAATTTGATCTTTTGAAATAAATTTTTCAATTACATTTTTAGAAATATCGAATTTGTTTTCTCAGAAAAATTGCAAAATCTTATGCTTCTACACATTTTGCTAAATTTTTGCTATATATTTCTGTTGTATGAAGCTTTTAATTCAAATTTAAAATTTATTACTTATTATTACGATTTTGTTTACTTGATTACTCCTATAAGTAGTCAGATTAATTAAGTGATTAATGTCAAGTTTTTGGCACCCAAATCTTACAACGATTTAAATTTAAATATAGATTTAATAAAACCCATTGTTAATCATCTACAGTTCGTAAGAGTAAAATTGCGCAAAAACTACTAATTCGTTTGTAAATTAAATACATTTATGGTAATAGTATTAGTGGTTTACAACTTATTGCAAAAATATTTTAGATATTCATTACACAATTTGACCTTTATTTATTTTCATTTTCTTTTTTTGGTTTTAACTGACTAATGTTTATTTGCTAATTTTTCGTGCAACATGTATAATTTTAAATATGAAATTTAGTACTGCAATATGAATCGTACTAAAATCCTTTTTATTGAGCAACTTTTTATTATCAAATCGTGTTGTCTCCAATTAAAATATTTTAAGGATATCTTCAAGAATTTGGATTCATGATGTTCTACACATACGTTTACGTTTTCTACATACATAAGTATTATATTTATCATATACGCGATCATATATATGCAAATACGTTTCTCAGAACGTTCAAATGATACTTTCGTACTCATGAGTTGGCGACACGTGTAGTTTTGTAAATGAAATACGCAAGATTTATATATAAATACATATATATATATATATATATATATATATATATATATATTGATATTTGATAACGCAATTGATTACGTTTCACCATAAAAATATGCGTGTGTGAAATCTCGTGAATGATTAACATTCGAGTATCAAATGAAAGAATTTCATGGTTTATTATTATTATTATTTGGTTTTTCAATGAATCAAATGTTATGACGGAATTGTGCGTATTATACGGTTTGTAGTAAAATTTACTACAGTAGTATAATAGTTTTATTGCCTTTTTACTACACCGCATACAGAGGCGTTTTTGCTCTTGTACACATGGCAGACAACCTAGCTTGAAAATACTTCATCCAGATTTTATGTTATGAAAGTGAAATTTTCTTCAATGAAATGTATTTATAAAAAATCAGCAAAATTTAAATTTTGAAGATTATTTTTAAAAACGCACGTTAAACATTTTCATAATCAAATGTCTTGTATTTCTTGAGTTCAAGATGTGCAAATTATTGATAGATATTCTGGCATTTTTCTAGTTTTAGTATCTTTATGCAGAAATCAGTCAGAATGTTTTGATTTAAATTATTATATCAATTCTGAAATGGTCTTTTCTATCAAAATTTAAAATTTCAAATTACGGGTCTAGTTTTTCATTTGCACTTTTAGTTCAAAGTGTCCAAACTATTGGTAGAGATTCGTGATTTAGTTCTATATTTAGTATCATATGTAGAAGTATGTCAGAATATGATCTAAAAGATTACAACAATTTTGAATTTGCTTTTTCTAATTCAGAATTTGAAGTTATGGGTCTAGTCTTTCATTTGCACCAACTTTAGTTCAAGGTGTGCAAATTATTGATAGAGATAGACTTATTTCTAGGTTTAGTATCTTATCATGTCAGAATGCTATGATTTAAA